AAATAGTTTACAAAAAAGTCTACACATGTTACTTTCTACTGCAAACTGGATTGAATATACATAGATAAATCTTCATACTTATTTGTACCTCACAGTCTTGAGGAATATCTCTTAAGACTAATGCAAACTTTAAATAAAGTTGGAGTTTGTTTATTCACAACTTTTGTGCCCAATCATAGAATAAATGTCTAAAAATACATTTCAAGACGAGACATGTATTCTTTTACCTAGCACATAAATGCCCTGGTATTGCCTAGCACTACAACTTGAACATTTATTAGTGATGTTACTGTACTTTTTTTAAAAATAACATTTGAGTTTTTTTTGGACAGTTGTTTTATTTTACCTTTTTGTTGTTAAAAATGTTGACTTATCAAATTAATGTACTAGTTCATCAATTGACACTTTATATATTAATTGTTAGACATTTATTGTCCTTATCATAAGAGACCTAAGCCGAAGATTATTTCTCAAGACTATGATTCCTATGAGACTTATTTCTGTGCGAATCAATCATTGAATGGTGACAACCAATATCATTTTCTTTCTGTATTGAGTAAATATTACCCTAACCATTGTCAAACACCTATGGTATTCACTAATTGATAGAGTCAACGCACAGAAGTTAATATAGAAATCTTCATTCTTACATAAGCCTTAGGTTGACACTAATGTTAACCAGGATGAGACACAATCGTATAATATAGGTAAGCTTCTTTGTAACCTTAATTGAGAGTTGTTTATAACCTCATCAATGATTTTCCACTGGTACGTTGCACTTTAATCCGACGTTCAAGGTTGCTCCTTCTATGATTTTAGCATATACGATCGATCGTTCGAAGAAACGTTTCATCGAATACATGTCTTTTGCATTCAAAGAAAATGTTTCAGTTATAAAGTATCACTAACCGAACTATTTCGCTGTACGCGAGTCCTGTGATAGTCATACTGAAATATGATCTGTGATACGAATGCCTTACATTAAAGCTGACTGGTACGGCCGAGAGTGGGGAAAGTTTGCTATCCTTCTAGAAACGCTCTCACATGGCCACGCGTATATACCCTCTGCTAGGGAAGTCCTACTCACTGCCTTCTCATGGCGAGGGTGTTGTTTAGGAAATTGAGAGGACGAAAAGCGAATGTCCAGCACTTTAACCGGATTGGTGGATATGGAGAGTCCACCTACTGGAGTTGGAAAACCCTGATTCCAAACCAATAGTGCACATGGACTCCAGGATCCTGAGGGAACAAATTGAGTATAAATCAATTATTGCTCACCAGCTACCACGGAACTGCATTTCCTTACGTTGCTCCACTGCCTTGTAGATCAGACCTTTAAGTCGAAGGCTCCGGGTGTGACCCCATAAGAAAACCACCTGCTTCGGTCTGCGTACCCAAGTAATATCACAGCCCACACGAAAACCAAGTGACTTGTGTGGCGCATATATATGTATATGTATATGTTCAAATAAATAAATACAAACAACAAATGGAGGTTCAGTATACATACTGAACCATAGTCAGCCACCACCCAGACAATGATAATCGGACGCGCTCAGTTACGTAAACCCCCACGATCTGACTAGAGATTGAACAGAATTAGCCCCAGGGCAAGATTTCTAAACGTTTTCCTCAAAGTTTTGTCGTATGTTCTTCCTAGTAAGCTACTTTCCCATGCTCTTTAGTTTTCATTATTTTTTGAATTTTGTATTTAAATAATAAAAAGCAAAATACACTAAATATCTGTCTTACTTCCCGCCTTCTTAAAAAACACCTTCATTAAGGGGGTTAGACTTTCCAGATGTTGATCTTGTTATCAACTACGATGTTCCACGTCGGCCATCGTGGTCTGATTCTGCAAAAGCATACATACATCGAGTAGGAAGAACTGCTCGTGCTGGACGACACGGACGTGCTATTACATTTGTTACTCCTTATTCAGTTACACGTTTGAAAGCTATAGAGTCAGCTTTAAACGAAAGAATTCCTCAGTTACCTTGGCCTGGAACAGATTGCTTGAATTCACAGTTAAGACAACAAGTAGTACAAGCTGACAAAGAAGCTCGTGCAGTAAGTTAATGGTTCACAGTATATATATATACATAATTGTGCAGTTTTGGGTCTTCCATAATTTTTTTAGTAATCATTAACAGGGCCTAGAACGAACATGTATTGGTTAGACTAATTTCCGGACACCATATGAAGACTTCTGTTCTAAAATGTAAGATCGTAACCAGTTTGATTGAATAACGTCTAAACTAGCTGCTAAACCACTTGCTTCAGTCTGGGCTGTATCAGAGCCCACACACAAGTCAAGCGACTTGTGTGGGGCATATGTATGCGGTACCCCTTTGTACCAATATTTATGTGTTCTTAACGACCTCAGAACATAACCCATTAATACCAACAGATCTTTCTTGCCTTGAGTTTAGTTGCGGCCTTGTCAGCTTTGATGAGTTCAAGAGCCGATATTAACCTCTCATTCAGATTGACCGTGACTAATGAACAAATGAAATACAGGTAGTAGCCAGTTGAACTATTCTGTACGTCATGCCAGTTGCTTGGTTTGAGAGGACTCCATTTTTTTCGGATAAATTTTCTCTAACACATACTTTCTATATGTAATGCTAGAAAACCAGTAATTAAATTACATTATGGAGATTAAAACAGTGGCTTTATGACCAAAGAGTTGAACTTTCGGCCACTAAGTCAAGAGTTTGAACCCCGTCCTACCTTACCTTTCACATTTTTCATGCTGTATACCATCAAAATTGGTTCCAATTTTTATTAAATTTGTTTTAGAACTTACGTATCAAGGAAAAGCAGAAACAAATAAAGAAAAAAAGAAAAGACTCATCAAACAATAACAGATTGCCAAAAACTAAACGATCACGTCAAAGTAAAGAAGTGGATTCAGAAGAGACAAACAGTGAACCAGAGTAGTTTACCATTCTTTGTACAGATTTTGTAAATACTACTAGATCATCGCATTACTGGATTTTTCATATAATTCGTTTTTGGAATGTGTTTGTTTAATCTAAGCAATACAAGCTGTAAACCAGTTATACTTCTTTCAGTAGAACTGCCAGAGGATTAAAAGTTATCAATTGAAAATTTGGTCTAGAATCAACTACTTTAACCTTGAGACTTCCACCAGATCCCCAAAGTGCTTATAGAATTAACGGATGTGCAAACCAAATATTTAGGTGTCATAAAAATGACATAAGTTTTTGGTATACAGGAATTATAACGATTCTGATACTACTGTGAGCAGTAGATAATCCTACAGAAGATCCCAACGGGTATTCAACACTCATATCATTACTTTTAACGAACATAGTAGACTACTGACATCACTTGAGGCACTCCCGATATCCTTTCATTCCAAGACCATCTATCCCCCTCCCGTTTAACTTCGTAAGCGATGGTCTATTGTGTTCTTGCACATCAAACGCAGAAATCCAAGAGCTTGGTATCACTATTTCCATACGCCATAACATCAAGTATTCTCAGTAGTTAACAGAAAAAAAACAATTTCTTCCGGAGTTGTATACCATACATATTCATTTTCTTGGACATTACCTTTTGTAGACTTTTCGCCAATTTTTTTAGAGCCCAACTTTAATAAGCTTGTGATAAGACAATGCTCAAATGTTAACAGCTGTATGACGACCGCGCAATTCGACAGCGGCTTAGCAACACATTTTGAAGAATAAGGAGCATTGGACTACAGAACTTTTGCGGAAAACGCAAACAGTTCCAGTCTTCCCACCGAGGAACCGGCTGTTGTCGCATGTCATACTCTAATGATCACCATAGGTTTTCCTGTCGCGCAAATTCTACCACGACACATCATATAGCTTTGCAACTACTGTGCCTAGGAATATTACGTAACTTTTCCAACAATACGAGCAGGTAAGAAACAACACCTAAAGCAGAGGTCGCTTAACTTCAGTCCACCTGATACTGGAGTATCGAAATGTAATCTTCGGACAGACGTTGGTGGCAGTCATAACCGGCGATGGTAGCTGCCTAGCTTACATCAATGATGTAATGATAAAGGTTTACGACTTCATCGTTAGTGATATATGTTAGGATCGTTTTTGCAACACTGAATGAATGACACCAATGGGTCGTGTTCAAAATAAAAGTAGTTAATCGGACCTACACTATGTACTGCTTCACCATAAAAAGACTCGAAATGTATTATGATCACCAGTCAACAGAGTGTTACACGGCACTGTTACTAGGTCTAGGGAAATTAGTGGAGTCAATATTGATATTTTGGTTGATGCCGCCCACAAGGACGTTTGTAAGTAATGTGTATCAGAATACGGCGTCAAAGCTGCAACAACCGTCGAACAGTAAGTTTCAGTCACGATGTTGGCAGAACATTAGAAGATGCTAACGGATGAATAAATGCAGTGAGTTAGCAGCAACGCGGAACTTCATACGTACGTACATCAGTTCAAGTTGCCATACCACATTAGTACAGATACAATTGTCGATTCAAATCCCATAGTGGTAGAGGTGGTAAAAGTATAAGCAGTTATCGGAAAGATTAGGGTTTGAAGATGCTTACCAAGGAGTACAATCCAGTGAAATAAATTTGGAAAGACGAAAAAAGGAACATGAATTCAGATTAGAATTTGGGAAAACACAAAGAGTGGATGCACCTGCCCGATCGCAATCGATTTGGGGCCACGTCATTCAAGGTCTCTATCCATCGGTTGCTATCATCTCGCGGACCCCAATCAGGTAGTCTACACCTACCAACATGGCTCAGTTCACTTGTCAGTGACTTCATGGATTTGTGCCATGTTTTGGTCTGACTGCCCCTAGCTTTCTTCCAACCTACTCCTACACCACAAAACATCGCTCGTCGGGGCAGTCGGTGGTTGGGCATACGTAACACGTGTCCCAGTCATCTCAACTGTTGAAGTTTCACTACTTCATCAATTGATTTGTCATCCTTACCTAGTATCCGTTTCCTAACAACTGCATTAATTACTCGATGGTCCCAGGATATACGAGCAATACTTCGAAGACATTTATGATTAAGGGTTATGTATATGCATATGTAACCTCTCGCAATAAATATCCACACCCGTCTATTGCCTTGTTTTAACGTATTATCAGTTTGAAACAGACCGATTAAATTTCTAATTGTACCCATAAAATTTTGTGTTGAGTTTTGTCGGAGACAGTAGATAAAAACTTTTCATACTCTTCGTAATACAAAACACCAGAATGGTTAGCCACCATAATGGTGGGAAATGCAAGAATCTAGCTGAAATTTGATGCTTTCAAAAATACACATCAGAAGTCTTTGTGTACTGAGGACAATGACATTAATCGAATAGTCAATCTGTACAAGTAAGATAAACTTTTTTTTATCGTTAACTTAACAAAAGACATAACCAAGCAAACACTATCAAAACTGTACACAATATAATAAACTAAACTTGAACGTACACAAACTGTTGAAACCAAAGGCAATGAGTAATAAGGTTTGTTTTTATATATTTAAGTTATTAGGCTTCTCACTACTTATTTTTCAAAAGTAAGAGAATAATTACCATTGTTGTTGGGGACAGTAATGAAAATGACTGTAATCAAGAAAATGTATAAACGGTAACCAAAACGAGTTGAATAAAAACATGCCAGTGAATAAATATACACATATAATAATAAATACAAAGAAATTACAAGAGGAAATAATAATAATAATAAACAATTGTACAAAATGTCAAGAAGAAAACAAAAAACAACAACATGAATTCACAAAAATAAGCAAATCAGTGTTTCAAGTAAATTAAATAGGACAACATATGAATTTGTATATATATATATATGTACATTTTTCAGCAGATTTTATGCTTGAACAAATGATGAAAAAATAATAATAATAATTTATCATTAACAGTTGAAAAACAAAATTTCAGAAACACTAAAATATTTCAGATACTGTGGAGTTTTTAGTGCTTCAGAATAACAACAACAACAACAAATATGAAACGATAGAAAGTAGACAATCTTAGAAATGCAAATAAGGGGGGGGGGCAATGCGATGGATTTTGTATAAATTTCCCAAATAATGATAATAGTAATTAAAAACCATACTTGCACACTAATTCCAAAGGATGAAGAAAGGAATGTGCAGTTGATTTTGTAGGAGAAAACATGTATATGAGCAACAAACACGTCTATAATTGATCATCTGATTTTAATCGCTTGACTGGTGTAGTAAAAGCTCTGGAAATAATTATATATAAAAAAAACGTAGATTGTACAAAACTGTTCATGAACGAGACTCGATGATTTAAATGATGAATACAACCATGTGTAAAACAATACCTAATTTTAGAATAAGAGTTCATTGTTAAGCCGATATCAGTTGGTCGTCATTATCGGATAGCATCGCAGTGGGACTGGACTAAGTCCTTGTATATCTCATTAACATAATGTGATGAGTGGCAAAGAAACTGAAATTGATGTGGTAGCGATGCTGAAGACGGAACATTAGGAATATAGTTCGAAAAGATGGAAGAGTATGAAAGAAAATTAGGACCCATTATCTGAGAGTAAGAGAAAGTGTGTATGCATCTGCGCCATTAAGTCATTTTGAGCAATGTCATCTAACGTATCCAACTATTGGTTATGATAATCACGCTGACCCCAAGTCAGCAACTACCGACATGATTCAGATCAACAGTCAATGACTACGCTAACCCCACGTTTTGCTTTGGACACCCCTAGCGTTCAGTCAGACAACACTAAGCTTCAAAGTAAATACTGGTTAGGCATCTGTAGTTGATGAAGATTCTCGACCTCATCGACTGATTTGTGATCCTTTATTGATAGCTAGTTCCAAACATTGTTCAATCGATGATGTGCCTATGAATTAATTGTTATTGCTACTTTTGCATCAAACTATAAGGAGATTAGTCGCTTTTCTGTTTACATAAGTATCTAGCTTGTTAGTAACTAAATTTCAGCCGAATAAAATGCAGATATCAATGCCCTTACGCACACCACCACTCCAAATCCTAAAAAATTAACTGCAGATCATTTAAAAGTAATTCCAATTGTCGCTAATTTATAATGTTTTCCATGACTGTTAAAGCTTAGCTATATGTTTCATTGATAATATGAACCTGTTGGATACTCTTCCCATTTACTTAACCTATCAAGAGCCTTGCCGATTGAGTCAAATGTTTCCTTCTATTCGACAAATATATTTGCAGTGATACTTGGTAAGTAAACTCGTAATACAAAATCTACCCGAATTCATCTCACCACCAGTGGATCATATACGTATTACCACGCGAGTTCAACTAGCAACTAAGCAATAGTTATAAGCTATTATGTTCAACCTCAATGGCCTTACCCTTCTTGTGATGTTCCTAAACTCAGAGCACGCTTGGTAACCGGCTGTGAGGCATTTGTTGCTTGGAAATTGATGGGTTGAGGACTTATTCCAGCAACAGAGGAAGGTGTATTAGATACATCTTGAAGCCAACGAACTTGTGTCGCCGGTCCATATCCTTTTTCATTGCGAGCAGCAATCCGAAAGATCACAGCAGGTTTTGAACTAAGATCTAAATGAGCAGTAGCCAATGTTGCAGAAGTAACAGTTGCTGAGGGTGATTGACCACAATATACACGAACGAATGCCATACCAGATGGTGTAGAACCGACCTATAGATAAACAGTGAAAGAATTAGTAGGGAGGTAAAAGAAGCACAGTCAATCACACTGTGGATACCATAGGGAAACTAATCTAACGCTACAGATCACGCTAGAAAACTAATACTCCTACATATGTTATGTAAATAGTTACAGCTGTAAAACGTTTTATGTGTCTACACAAGTCAGTAAATATTTTGAAGCTTTAAAGCACATTACAATAAGTTTGTTGGTATGAAATTTCTTAAGCATTCAACTACGAATACAACTTGAGTCAATTTCCATAATAGCATCAAAAAATAGCGACGGTAATTTAAACAAAACTTTAAGTTAATCCTCCCGCTCACTTTAACTTAGCTCATATAGTGTTTTAAATTTTCCTAATTTTGTTACATATGATTAGTGTGTATACACTTCACAGTATAGAGATTTGTATCAATGTGAAATTTAAAATTCGCCAATCAAACAATGTTCATATGATGAACATGATAGTGATCTAACTTAATTTGTTATTTTAACAACTATCATGAATATTCTACTTGCTGGATGTACGCTAAGCATATTGAACGGACACACACACACACACACCTAGTCTCATTTACGTGCGTGTTTGCGGACTTTACTAATTATTAACAAAATACCATCCCTACAACTGCTCTTCTGGCTTTTAAGTATTCTCGAGTAAATTCATTATAATAACTACGAAAACAGGCTTACTTAAATACTTAGTTAACGGGATATCAACTATTATATTCAAATAAAGAGGAATTAACCTCTACAAATGTCATAGAACGAAGACTGTAAAACCAGCACGAACGGATGAGTGAAATTTTCGATGGAACGACTTAATAATGTGACCAGCATACCAACATGTAATTAAAATTATTTGTCTATCTAATTGAGGTTCATAAAATGCTCCGAATTATATATTCAGTGTTAGCGGGATATAAACTGGATTAAATCATGTTCCGTGCAGGATTGTATTGGGGCACGTTTATTGGCTATCTCCCAACCAGTCAGTGCTACGAAGACCTGGAGACAATTCCAGAATCTTCTTATGTAAAAATTACAAATATATCAACATTTTTCTTATTGTGATTCCTACTTTCATCCAACCTTGTTATTTGGAGTATGATTACGCTCCTGTCCATCTGTGTTCTGATATGTGAACGTGTCGAGTGAGATACTGTTTAAGAATACTAAGCAACAAGAGTAACTGGGTCGTAATAAGAAAAATCATAATACACAGACTTCTTCGAATTTTAGAATACTTCTCATCTGTGAAAATAGTTACAAAACTACATGAACTATTGTTCTATATCAGATTCTTATTATATTATAAAGTTTAGGGAACGCATTAACAGACTAGACAATGACCTTTAGTATTTACGTAGGCTATTGATCGTGCGAGCATTATAATATGAAAATTAATGGATTCAGTGTTAGTGATGTAGAAAAAACAGCGATTTACAGGTAAATTTGCACAAAATATTTAGTACGTTCTTCACCAACAAAATAACAACTGACCTTGCTCTCTGTAGAATCTTGTCCTGCAGTCTGAGACTTGACAGCTAAATAGACAGAATACTCTGTAATCTTTCCCGCCGTGTTCTGAGGCGCTTCCCACGTTAAATGTGCACCACTGTCCGATTTAGTTATTTTTATAGCACTGGGAGCCCCTGGGTAACCTGGTAAACAGGTTTTGAATGCGCTTATCTCCGACCAAGGACCTCGACCACAAGCATTGAGGCCTGCAACACGGAATTTGTAGGCTGTTCCAGGAGCGAGTTGGAATTTAGGACCCTGTGTAGTTAGTCCATTCGGTCCAATCCCATTGGGACCCTGTAATGCGGTGATAGCCTGTTTTTTTTTTATTTAAACAATAAAAAGTAATACAATAAAATATGGATTGATCTAAAAGAAATCATGAAATGTGTTATTAAAATGGTTTCTGAGACAGACAAATGCAGTCAAATACCATTTGTTAAAGGAACGGACCAGTTTCTATGAATGAACGCTCGTTTCTTATTTTATGTTAATTTGCTCAACAATCAAAAAGCAGGTTAAAGTTGTAATGATAGTACTATGTTCAATGGACAGTGATTAGTTAACATCTCTAATATTAATCAATACTGATTATGTAAAATGCAAGAGAGAACCGTTTTATCAATCTGGCAGACTAAAACATATCTTTAAGGGTAAGTAACAAACAACAATTTTTTATTACTATCACGAACAGCAATCATCAAAAGCTAATATACGGTTCCAAGTACAGAATATTTATTCAAATAATATCGAAAGTATTATTAATAAGAACATGATAATGTGACTCGTTTACCAAGTACAGATTTACTTGGTCAGCTTTCAGTCACACTATTTAGCGTGATGGCTTGTGAATAAAACCTGGCTGTCTAAACCAAGGCAGGTGGGACAGGATTCGAAACTGGAAACTACTAGCTGAATACAACGTGGTTTAAAAACTAGTGAGACATCGCTTCTCATAGAGTTATTATCACTAAAACACTGTCTAGTGGACATCACTGATCCGTAGTTTATCAACATAATAAACAGACTGTGATTCATGGGAAAAAAAGAATAATGGGTCTATACTCCACAATGTTCTCATAAGCTTAGGTCTAAATACACAAGTGACGTGAAGAGGTAAACTTTTCCTTATCCTTTACTGTCATTCAATCACCTAGATCCTTTATTTACTTATATTTTATCACTTTTTAAAAAATAATTATTGTCAAAGTTGCAAGATGATATTTTTCCAAAGTATAAGTCATGACTATAAACGTACTTCCATATGTACACCAGCATCATTTGTACAGGCTGAATACATTGTTACAGTATAATTTGTCGACTTAATAACGCCAACGTCATGCCAAGAATTGTCGCCTCGACTAATCAATGTACCAGGTGTTACAGTAGTCGAAGAACTTATTAAAGAACAATTGGTAGATGTTGTTACGATTGAATGGGAATTCGCGACCAAACCTGTCACAGAACGAGAAACTTGTCCCCCTCCTAAAGTGGAAGATAATGGTGACAGGCGAGAATAAGGGAGAGAAACAGCAACTAATCGACCAGAATTTGAATTACAAATAACATGTGAATCAGAATTGGAATAAACTGTAGAATGTGAGATGACTGAATCATTTTCTGTCAGAAAAATAGATAAATACGACAAAAATGAATTTCTTGGAAAACATTGATATTACAAACTTAAAAGACCAATTATTATGGATGAAGGTCTTCTGTGATTTAATTAGACGAAAATATTCGATTGTTAAAATCGATGAATACAATGCAAATCAACAGAAAAACGCAATGACATAATGTGTAGAGAATATGAACGCAAAATGACCATAAAATGGCACACGCGACTGGAGGAAATTAGCTCATACGTTATTCATGCTCCCATCAATTAGGACCTTGTTGTTGGGCTTAGTATTCGGGCACTGGAGGTCACCCATGTAAGTACTGGGTGAAGACGCTGATAGAATACAGTCTCTTGGAATGCGCTTCTCTCCTTCTAGATGGCAGTTGTTGCTTCACGACTGACCTGTATCAACTCCTGAACTAAGGACAGAGGTTGAAGTAGTCAAACGCGTTGACAATTTCACCTAACTTGGAAGTCTGATCAGTCGTAATCGGTTGATATCTGATGAAATCTCAGCACGGATTTGAAAACCTCGTTTGGCCTTTGCCAACTTACGTCACCTATGATGAAGGCGAGATATCCGTCTATCAAGTAAAGGACGAGTTTACTGCGCAGCAGTATGTTCTGTTCTACTTTACGACTGCGGAACGTGACCATTAAGAGTAGAGGATACTCATGATTTATTAGTATTTGATCACAGATGTCTTGAAAATAATTCTCGCATCTCCTGGGATCACCGAGTAGGTAATAGTGGTTAGACAAAGGGTATTAGGGAATGATGGTAAATCAGTTGATCAAGTTGTAAATCTTCATCGACTGAGATGGTTGGGCCACGTGTTACGTGTGTTTGAACACTGATTACCACAACGCGCAATGCTGACTAGCGTTGAAGACGGATGGAAGACAGTTACGTTCGACCAAACCGAAACGTGGTATCAGTCCAGAGAATCACTAACTTCTGGTCTGAGCCATGTTGGTAGATGCATGCTACTCGGTTGTGCTCCGTGTGACTGTTGCCCACACCGTGGAAGGGTTCTTCTAGAGGTACCTGAAAAAGAGGATCCGACTAGGGGTGGGTCTCAGTGACCCCGTATTCTAAGTGAATTTCTCGGTAGATGTTCAACCCACGGAAATTTAGATGAGGAAAGTGTCATCTCTAAAAGTACGTCAATGACAAAGTTAAACAAGAATGGAGAGAGTGAGTAGCCCTGACGAACACCACTTGAGATAATCAATTCTGATGACAGTTCGCCATAAGCTCTCACTCGACTAGTTGTGTCCGAGTAGAAAGCCTTTACAAAGTTAATGTACTTCTTTGGTACTCCTTTCAATGACAAACACTGCCACAGAACCTCACGATCAACAGAGTCGAATGCTGCTTTAAGGTCAAGAAATACTACTATTTTGGGGCGTCTGAATGTGTGTCTATGTTCTAGGACCTGATGTAGTGTGAATATCTGGTCTATACAACCACGTCTAGGTTGAAAACCAGCCTAGTTTTCTCTAGTCTGCTCTTCACGAGCTTTAGTTAGGCGTCGAAGTATTATTGAAGCTAATATTTTAGACACTATATTAGTCAAACTGATTCCTCTATGATTGTCACAAGAGGACTTTTGTCCTTTCTTATAGACTGGCACAATCAGTGATTGAGACCAGTCAGATGGGATTACGTCCAATTCCCAAATTCTACCTAAGACCTCGGTTAATCTCACTGCTAATACTGGACCACCATCCTTAAAAATCTCAGGAGTAAACCTGTCAGGGCCTGCTGCTCTCCCTCGCTTCAGATTTCCTATAGCTTTTTCAACTTTGTAAAGAGTCGGAGGACCTAAATTAACTTGCCATTCAGGTTGACTGGAGATCGTGGGAAACCGAAGTGTGGCTGAAGGCCAGTTGAACTGATCCCTAAAGTGTTCTGCCCATCTATCCAATCTCCTGGATTGAGAATGTATAATATGTCCATCTTTCTCTGAGATTGTTTCGCTAACAGTCGGATACCTAATACCGGTTTCCTTAACAAGTCTGAACAATTGTCTGCTATTACCTATTGCCGCTGCCTTTTCCATCTCTCTTGCTTTCGCTACCCACTACTGTTCACAATCATTGCGTAGGCTTCTTGTCAGCTTGCGCTTAAGCTGACTCCACTCTTCGTTATGTTCAGAGCCAGATGGAATGAGTTTTCGAGCATCTATCAGTGCGGTAGGTGCTGCTGAGATCCAGTGTTGCTCCCTAACCTTACGGTTTACCGTACTAGCAGATATCACTGCTGTTTCCACAGCTTTTCGGATATCATTCCATGCTGCATCGGGGTGGACATCACCTACATGGCTGTCTAACTGTTTTCCAAGTTGTTCCTGAAATATACTCTTAGCTTGACAATCATTAAGTAGGGCCCTATTGATTGATTAATTCAGTAAGTGTCTTCCTTCAGTGACAACTGCTTAGTTTGGTGAAATTCTGAAATTTTCAATCATTGAATAACCGATATACAATTGCTTCTATATGAACTGGGACGGTCAGCAATTTTGGGTAACCAGATAATGATAGAATCTTAGGTGTTAACTATCAATCAAATTAACTAATACGCTTCCCAGTATCCTTAAAGAATTCTGTTGTTAACGCGTAGAGATATGAGTTCACCGGGCATACATGTTCTGACACTAGAGTATAGAGGAAATCCCACTTAGTTTTCAGGAGAAGTACCTTTATATCGATCCCACCAAAAGATGTTTTAGTCCCAACAGTAGAATAAAAACGAACAAGTATGTGTTGTGACAAGCCCTCACATGGAATCCTCAAGGCCAATGGAGGAGAAGAGGAAAACCAAAGAACACATTACTCCGGGAAATGGAGATAGACATGAGAAGAATGAACAAAAATTGGATGGAATTAGAAAAGAAGGCCCAGGACAGAATGGATTGGAGAATGCTGGTCGGCGACCTATGCTTCATTGGGAGTAACAGGCGTAAGTATGTGTTGTGTTCATTCAGAGTTTATGGTCATTTCTATCTGAGAAGAATGGGATCCAAATCATTGTCAATGTGATACCACGAGTTTTTACTTTATGCATCGACGTCCTGTAAATTCATACTCTGTCTCAGTGAGTTTGTGAGTAGAGAACTGAGAAAGTTCACTAGCACCTTAAGACTAATATTTGAAATTCAACTTGTTTCTTGGATTGACAATTTCTTATTGCTTATAAATCAACCTTTGCAAAACACGTTTTATAATTTATAAGGAATATTAGGGTTGATGGAGGGAAGTTGGATTATCCTCGTGGCAATGGAAACCATTTTGTCCGTACACTGATTTGTCAAGAGTGTTAAAACTTAAATAACATGAATCGGAATGAAGTGAAATAGAGTAGCAAATAAAATTGTAAAACGTAACAATATGTATTTAGCTAAAAAAATCTTAGGACTTTAAGTAATACATTGAAAATTATGGACTTACCGTGATCATCACCACTTCCACTTCGGCGAGCAGCAACTAACGCTAATGTTTCCAAAGGATCAGTAAGAGAACTACCATTTCCTTCCTTCCCATCTACATATAAAATTGGGATAAAAGTATTGATAAATTTTCACACTGAACGCATTATTCGGTTTCCTAAGCTCTTCTATTATCCCCCAGGCTAAATCTACATGGCAACTTAGACACGAGAGTAAAGGTGCAAAATATAGGAAGAACACTTCACCGTAAGGTTAGTTTATGTACAGAAAATCTAGGGTACATATAGCATTTAGACGGCCTTGGGCTTCTGGAACACTGTTAAACATAGCAGCACGATAGGTAATCATCCAATCGGAAATGTGACATTCCAGATGTTTCTGGCAAAACTACTATTGGATGATGACTGGATAAGATGTTTCTCAGCATTTTGAAGCCCTTTTTTGGGTTTTTTTCCAGGAACTTTCCGGGTCTCCTAAACACCTTCCCCCTTCCAAGAAATAAGATTTCTTCGGGTCTACTTGCAACTTGATAACTAGTTTCCTGTGGTATTCCGACTTTCTTGGTATTCAGCGACGATGACGGGTTTACTGAGCAGCAGTTCGTTCTGTCCTACTTTATTGCAGTGAAACGTGGCCGGTAACAGTAGAGGATATTCGTAGGTTTCTAGTATTCGATCAGGTGTCTTCGAAGCATTGCTCGTATATCCTGGGACCATCGAGTAATTAATGCAGTTGTTAGGAAACGGATACTAGGTAAGGATGACAAATCAATTGATGAAGTAGTGAAACTTCAACAGTTGAGATGACTGGGACACGTGTTACGTATGCCCAACCACCGACTGCCTCGACGTGCGATGTTCAATGATATAGGAGTAGGTTGGAAGAAAGCTAGGGGCAGTCAGACCAAAACATGGCACAAATCCATGAAGTCACTGACAAGTGAACTGAGCCATGTTGGTAGGTGTAGACTACCTGATTGGGGTCCGCGAGATGATAGCAACCGATGGATAGAGACCTTGAATGACGTGGCCCCAAATCGATTGCGATCGGGCAGGTGCATCCACTCTTTGTGTCCTCCCAAATTCTAATCTTTTGAATTCCTCCAATACTCCGTGTACTGTTGTTTCCGTCTCAATTGCTGCCACCAAAGTATACTCTTCTTGTTTCGCTTGTGAACCAATCAGTTTAGATAAAGCGTCAACTTGTCTAAAATCAATAGTGGGCTGGTAATTGATCTTGAAGTCACAATCCGAGTGTAGCTTCCCATCGTTGCAGTCTGTTTGCTGTGTATACTGGGACGCGTTCGACTAATTCACTCCCTATCCTTAGTTCAGGTGTTCATACAGGTTATTCCTGAATCAACAACTTGTATTTAGAAAGGGAGAAACACATCCCAAACATTTTGACATTGTTGCTCAGTGCTATCAATAGACTCTGCATTTTATCAGCGTCTTCACCAAACAGGAATTTATCATCTGCGTATGCTAAGTCCAAAAGTAGACCTCCTGGTATGAGATCAATGCTCGAGAATTCAGTCGATGAGAGCATTATTTCCATCACCATGTCTATGATGAAGTTGAACAAAAATGGTGATAATGGACAGTCTTGACGGACACCACTTGAGGTTGCAAAAACAAATGGCAGTTCACCATAAGCTCTTACTCGACTAGTAGTGTTCGAGTAAAGAGCCTTCACAAGGTTTATGTACATCTGAGGTACGCCTTTCAATGACCGACACTGCCACAGAACCTTTCGGTCTGCAGAGTCAAATACTGCTTTCAAGTCAAGAATGACCACCATTGTCGGACGCCGATAAGCATGCCTGTGTTCTAGAACCTGACGAATAGTGAATATGTGATCGATGCAGCCACGACCAGGTCTGAAGCCAGCCTGGTTTTCTTGTGTTTGCAGTTCAATAATAAATCAATCCTTGAACGAAATCTATCACATCGTTGATTTGGTTATCAATACAATACAATAGCTTATCATTAACATAAAATTGGTAGATGAAACAGACCAAACACAAGTATTCAAAAAAGAGACCACTAAACTAACCTTTAGCATGTACTGGATCTTCATAAGATCCTGAATTTCCTCTGAAATCTTTTCCATGATCAGTATTAGAAGAGACATTTTCGGATAATGCATTAGGCTTGATATCAATCAAATTTCTGACTGCCTGATCAGTTTCTTTCGAAACGCTCGCTGAATTTTGGTCTGAATACGCTGATGTATTGTCATCACCAATCTCTGCAAGTAGTTCAGCAGCAGCTTCCACGGCTAATGACGTATGTAAATCGGAATTCGCATCCTTATTAAAGAATAGTAAGAAAAAAGAGTATTCACTTAACATTATGTGAAGCTATAAATAATGGCGAAACATGAGAAAAATTCAAGTAAATTAACAGATTGTATTATATAAGACTAATAATTTCACCTCAAGTGATAATTCAGATAATTTTTAAGTCGCCTTTCATATTCGCTGAAATGAAGCAATACAGGCGAATACGGAGTGTAGAAAATATTCACTTTTCTGTGAAGTCTAACTGCAAATTTGCTGCTCAAGACATTAGTTTATAACGCCTTTACAACATTTCCAAAGATAGATGACATATCAGTGTTTTTTGCGTTAATGTAGCTGATGAAATCTCGGTGCATAAACAAAAGTTTAGTTTAACTTTGATCAATATATATCGGTAGTGAAATATCCGACTGTGTTAGCAGGATATAGATTGGATTAAAGCATGTTCCGTGCAGGATTGTATTGGGGCACGTTTATTGGCTATCTCCAAACCAGTCAGCGCTACGAAGACCTGGAGACAATTCCAGAATCTTCTTATGTAAAAATTACAAATATATCAACATTTTTCTTATTGTGATTCCTACTTTCATCCAACCTTGTTATTTGGAGTATGATTACGCTCCTGTCCATCTGTGTTCTGATTTGGGAACGTGTCGAGTGAGATACTGTTTAAGAATACTAAGCAACAAGAGTAGCTGGGTCGTAATAAGAGAAAACTTAACAAACTGTTTATCACAAAACGAGACCTTGATTAACTTAGTTTAATGCAACTCAGCATCCACACTATCCAGGTGGTTAAGTCTGAGTAAGGGGAAATAAACCCCATTGTGACAATCTCCTGCAATTCTAAGATAGAGATACAGTAATTAAAGGTGAAAAATATCGGTAGGTTATCTGTGTTCAACCATAGATACTTTTACAGCATGTGGTGAAACCACTGAATAAGTTATGTTTAAGTTATATACCAAGTCTTAAACAAATAAGCTAGTTGTTAATGTAAAGTTGTAGTGTATGAGTTATTTGATATGAATGTGAGATGGCAACGAAATAAGATGCTGATGCTTGAAAAGGTGAGATCAAATAAAACTTAAGTATGCTACAACAAGATGCAGCACCAGTTCGTTAATACAAACATCTAAACAAACTAAGCGACATGAATTCAAAAGCACAGTTCTCTAAAATAAATCCTAATTTTCTTAAATCTGTGGATGCACAAACTAATAATTCAAGAAAAACTTTCCAGTACATTTATAATCCTTCGTATGTGACCAAACTCGAAACACGTATACAGACCGGTTTCAATAATATACATGGACTAAACTTTTTGGGTTGAAGCGCTAATCCTTGGTAATTAAAACGAAACAATCAAGAAAAGGTATTTACAATTCAACTAACACACACAAGTGTATGAACTAGTTTGGTGGTTACAGATGGTGCTCCGATGCATGAACCATGTAAGATCTGGTTAGTTTCAGGCCTGATGCCAAATATCTGACCACCTAGGTGGTTTGGAATAAATCAGTCAGAAAACATCAAATCCCAGTTCTATATTACTATATTAAGTCGTTCAGTTGGACTGACTTGAATTTATCTAGTAAGTAACAGATGACCAAATAAACAATGGAAACGATGTATCCGTTTATTTTGCTATGAATTTAAGCTTGTCCTTGTTAGCGGAACATAGACCGGATTAATGCATGCTCAATTCACGATTGCTTTGGTGCACGCTGATTGGCTAATTCTTATCCAATCAGCACTAGTCGATAGTTGAAGAATACTCTAGAATCTTCTCATGTAAAAACTATAAATATACTGACGTTTTTCCCTGTTGTGCTTGCATCTTGCTTCCATCTAACCTTGTTATTTGGTATATAATCTCTTTCCTGTTCAACCGTGTTCTGATTTGGGGTCTTGTCGAGTGAATCCGTGTCCGAGAATACTAAGCAATAGGAATAGTTGGGTCATAACCGTAAGAAAGAGATTATAACAGTCCTCTGCTAACATAATGCAGTTATAAGGTTTTAAACCTTTAATATGAACAGTTAACTGTCAACGATAGTTAAAAATTCATTTATGCCAGTGATCAAACGAGACATAACTATAATCAAGAAATACCATTTTGACTTATATGTATCAACAACTGTAGTGGTACTCTTAGGTAAAAAGCACACTTACTGTTGTATATGCTGGCGAATGTTGACTGCCAGTTTGTAGAATATCCACATTTCCTTTCATATGTAACTTTTCTTTGCCTAAATTAGACTCCAAAAGGACAGCTGATGAAGCATCGGTTTTAGCACTACCACCGTCCTCATCAACATCATCATCGTCATCATCAACAGCACCATCCAATTGTGGAATAGTTTGGAGAATCGATGACGTAGTATTACTTGGATCATTCGCATTACCATGTGTTGAATCATATTGATCCCGTCGGACTAAGGTTACCTGTGTTTGATTTCCCTGTCGTATTATTTGGCTGGTAGCACCTCCAGAAGATAAGTACAAATTTGATGATGCAGGCACGGCAGTTGATGAGGATACTGAAAATAAAGTCCAAGTTTTTAAGTTCCACGTTAACAATGCTTTGCATCACAAAACAACATTAGCTGGAATAACTGGTACATATCAAAGTAGAAAGTGAGTGTTTCACCCTAGTCAGCAAATCCACTTGATGGCAAACACTCCATTCAAACTACGATAACGAGCTGAAAATCGTCAATTTGTGAACATAGTAATTTCTAAAGCTTTCGACCTGAACTTTATAACCAGAATTGAGACCTGAAATTTACTATGATGAGTACATAACCAATCGTGTAAATAAGGATGAATTACTGAGACTAGATAATTTTATACACAATTATTCCGAATGTGCGCAGTAAAGGATAATGGGTACTCATAATGCCTATGATTAAACTAACATCATAGTGTGACAAAATACTGCATTCTAGGGAGACAAGAAGTAAAATGTCCTCCTTTGTGAATGTATGAACCTAACACAGATTGGTTATATTCCTTTGTATTATAAAAAAAGAAATAAAGAACTACGAAAACCTCGAAAATTCACAACAGTCTTACTTGTTGGACTCATGATAACTATTTGCTGTCCAGCTGGTCTGTGTACAGAACCTGAAACTTGAACGGTTGTCTGGCCCGGACGGCATACACCACCACCAGCAATTAAAATAGGCTTACCAGACGCAGACATCTGAAGCATCGTTGCTGGAATAGCTTTGATTACTTTAGGAACTATAATAAGGAAAAGTAAACGAAGTACAACTTGAAACTTTATCATCAAAAAGGAAACAAATAAACAAAAACGAAAATGTGTATCAAAGGTGGTAAAATTAGAATAAGATTTAATAATTTTATGGAAATAAAGAGTATTTAGGCTACTGTAGAAACAAGTGAACTAAATTCGTTTTCATTAAACAATCATAATGTGCAACAGATACACTTCAATTGGACATTAGCTATTCGTCCTCTCATTTTCGTAGACAACATCCTCGCCACGAGAAAGCAGTGAGTAGGACTTCCCTGGGAGAGGCTGTATACGCATGGCCGTGTGAAAGCATTTCGAGAGGGAGGGCGGGCCCACCACACTCTCGGCCATACCAGAGCATTTAGGGGCGGACAGCTTTAAACTTTCAAAATAAACTAAACGAAAAACTACTGTCTTACGAATTATGTAAGTTCACACGATAGGTCGGAAGTTGGACAGGAGTTTAAAAAAATCAAAGCTAAAACATATAAATATAAGTAAACCAAGTTTTGAAAAATTACTGATCACCTGAAACGCCAGTTCCAACTGATGCTTGTTGTACAGTGATAGTTTTGGAAGCAGTTGAAGATGAAGTTGTGGTCGAAACTAGTTTAATAGGTTTGATTAAACCTGTTGACTTGTTTACAATGTGTACTACTTGATTTGGATTCGAATTAGCTACACCGGAGTTATTCGCGACAGAAACTGCAGAAACCACCTGCTTGCCACTAACAGTAATAAGCTATGTAGAGAAAAATACGTTCATGTTAATAAGTTAGTCAAAAAACAAGTCGATCTCAGACAGAATATTCTACTCGGGTATCATGTAGAACATAACATACAATAAATTATCCTACATCCTACGACCAACAGAAAAATCAAGATAAACACAACGTGAAAAATGACACTAATCCATACCTAATTCACCATACAAACTGAAATGGGTGAAATCGTGTTAAAATGCTATATACAAGGTATTTCAAAACACTATTAATTTCCCTAACAAATGGTATGTCGGTTCTCGCGGATACATGTTTTAAGCTGAAATAACTCAGTCAAACTTGGGAAAAAAACATAGTAGAAATGCGTGCCAACTGTTGGGATGCTAGATCCCCTAAAATCACTTGGTAAGCGTCTTATATTTGTGGGCATACCGAAATAACTTCGAATATTAATCTTTTGTGACAGGATCAATCAACGTAAGACTAAAAATTGCATTGACAAGAACTTGTCCTGCAGCTAAACCGATTGTCTTGTTCAAAACAATGTTTTTTAGAACAATCAAAGATCGATAGCTATCACTTATATGTTACCACCAACTGTATATACATATTCACGTGTATCAGCCAAGTCAGTAACATTGGTAGAACAGGAAGGAGAGCGCATATCCGATGCAAATAACATATCCCAAAAAGGTCAAGTGGATCAAAAGCATTCAGAAGTGTCATCTCTAGACATCTTGATACAAAACATCAAGAGGAAACACTGAAGTCTTTCAAAATGATTAACAAACAATCAAACTCCAGTCTTCTAAAAATTTTCAGCACTATAGATACCAAACGCCTGAAACCAGATCTGCTCCCCAAATGCCCTGGTACGGCCAAGAGTAGGGAGAATCCGCTCTCCCCCTCGAAATGCTCTCATATAACCACGCGTGTATACCCTCTGCCAGGGAAGTTCTACTCACTGCGTTCTCGTGGCGGGGGTGTTGTTTAGGAAACTGAGAGGACGAAAAGCGAACGTCCGGCGCTTTAACCGGGTTGGTGGACATGGAGAGTCTACCTACTGGAGTTGGAAAACCCTGATTCCAAACTAATGATGCACACGGGCTCCAGCATCCTGAAGGAACAAATGGCGTATGAACCAATCGTTGGACACCTGCTACCATGGGACTGCAACTCCTTGAGTTTCCTCACTGCCTTGTGGACCAGACCTTCAGGTCGAAGGCTCTGGGTGTGGCCTCCTAAGAAAACCACCTGCTTCGATCTGGGCACCTGGGCAGTATCACAGCCCTCACACAAATCTAAGGAGATGACGATTACTTCACGAAATACTATGCTCGCTTCATTTTAGAATTCAGGTAATTCACATTCACTTGATAACACTCACTGTTTCTATTATTACTATGTTTTATATACTACGTCACTTATCTACCTCTATTCCAACTTTATGTATCCCCATTCTTCAACTTATACAGCAGCTCACACATGGTAGGAATTCTGTTCCATATAAACGATCTCAAGTCACTGTTGAATGCTTCCACCGGATACAAATACTGAAACAGTTTTTCTGAAACCACGTACACCATTCAAACTGGCTGCCTTCAACGTTCGCACACTAATGCAGATCGAACAACAGATAGGGCTGGTTGTCTTTAGAAAGTCTTAATATCGAGGTCCGCTATATTCCAGACTAGTACGGTACTACAAATTCGCTCTCCACCAGTCGCTTCAAAATGCTTATTTTACATGCGCTTATCCGGGGACCCTGTGGCGTTGGTGTCGCACTAAGCACTAGAGCTGAGGCAGCACTAATTGATTGGATCCCCGTTAACAGTCGGTTATGTGCTGTTAGATTAGAAAGTTACATCGAATTGAGAAGAAATCGGCGTGAGAAACGATGTCTTTTCGTCATCTCCGCCTATGCCCCGACAGATTGCATCCCCGATGCGATCAAAGATGAATTTTACTACCAGTTAACTGTTCTTATCCAGAAAGTGCATCCCACAGATGTTGCAGTACAAGCCGGAGACTCGAATGATCAGGCCGGGCGTCTAGGCACAGAAGAGAGTCGTTTAGGTGGCCGATGGTGACTTCTTGGTCGCAGGACAGATAACGGGGACCGTCTACTGCAACTGTGCGCAGTTCACAACCTGTTTCCAGCTAGCACTAACTTTCAGCATAGTCATCGCCGATGTCCCACCTGGCGTCCTCCCTCTGTATTTCAAGCCTGGACTCAGATTGATCACATCGCGATCAGCTACCGCTGGCGTGGTTGTGTACAAAACTGTTACTTTTCAGAGTACCTATCTGGACTCTCATCATGCTCTGGTGTGTGCCAATCTTACTTTTCAGTGGCCAACGAAGTGACCGTCACCAAAGGATTGATGTCAGTAAATTGATTCCAGCTTCTGTTGCAACTAAGTATCAAACCGAGCTAGGTTCTAGGTTAGTTACCATCCCAACGAAAAGTATAGATGAGTATTGGTGGCAGCTGCATGACGCCATGGAAATGAAGAGTATAGCCGTTGGCGGCTTCGCGAAACGTCCCGCTTATAAGCACTGGGTCCCCTCAGGCTTTCTACAACTCATCGAGACCCGTCGGTATACTCCGGATGACCGTGAGTTTGATCACAAACGAAGGATGTTACGTAATGAAATCGGGTAAAGCTTGCGTAAGGACCGAGAAGCCTGGTGGTCGGAGCGTGCTAGTGAGCTAGAAGCAGCAGCTACATCTGGTAACAACCGGAAGCTCACTCAACTCACCCAAGCCACTGGCAACAAGAAGTCTGGTGTGAGCGAAGCAATCTGTGAGTATGACGGGATGCCAATAACAAACATCCATCGACGTCTTGGAGGATGAGCAGAGTTCCTCGAATGACAGTTCACAAGGAAATCCAACTCTTGAAACGCTACAAATCACCGGACCCAGACGACCTGCACCCGGCTGTTTTTAAATATGGTGGTGACTTTCTAGTTAAGGAGCTGACAATGGTGTTTACAAAGGTCTGGGAACTAGAGAATGTTCCAACGTCATGAAATGAGTCGATAATTGTCCTTATTTTTAAAAAGGGTTCACATCGTCTCTTTAAATTTTATTGGGGGATAGTCTACTTCCAGTTCCTTCAAAACTGTTGGCTTTGTCATACTTCGTAGGTTGTGTGAGTGAAACAATCTGCGAGGATGATGGGATGCCAATCACTAACATCCATCGACGTCTTGGACGATGGGCAGAATTTTTCGAAGGGCAGTTCAACTGGCCTGCTGCTCCGGCAACATCGGTCAGACTGTCCTGCCCTCCATGGCCGGTGACGACTGATCCACCAAATGAGGAGGAAGTCCGCAAGGAACTCCAACTCTTGAAGCGTTACAAATCACCTGGCCCAGATGACTTACCTCCGGCTCTTTTTAAAGATGGTGGTGACTTTTTGACTAAGGAATTGACGACGTTGTTTACAAAGGTTTGGGATCTAGAGAGTGTACCAACGTCATGGAATGAGTCGATAGTTGTCCCTATCTTTAAAAAGGGTTCACGTCGTTCTTGTAACAACTATCGGGGGATAAGTTTACTTCCGATTGCGTCCAAGCTATTGGCTTCCGTCATTCTTCGTAGGTTGTTCAAAACCCGAGAAAGATTGACTCGCGAGGAGCAGGCTGGGTTTCGTTCTGGTCGAGGATGTATTGATCATATCTTCACCCTCCGCCAAATGTTAGAACACCGCCATACTTTTCAAAGGCCAACAATCGTAGTGTTTCTTGACATCAGGGCTGCCTTCGATTCGTTGGATAGGACTGTTCTCTGGGATTGTCTATTGAAGAAGGGTGTGCCTGAGAAGTTTATTAACATCCTAAAAGCCCTGTATAAAAACACCTCAGGCAGAGTGAGGGCATACAACCACCTCTCTCCATTGTTCCATTCGAGCAGTGGGGTTAGGCAGGGTTGCCCAATCTCACCATTCCTCTTCAACTTTGCCATCGATGACATTCTGGAAACAGCTCTGATGAATGTAAGTAATGGTGGTGTGGATCTGTTGCCTGGAGAAAGACTTCTCGACCTTGAGTATGCGGACGATATTGTCTTACTGTGCGATAATGCCCAAGGCATGCAATCCGCACTTAATCAGTTGGCAATCAATGTCCGTAGGTATGGTATGTGCTTTGCACCTTCGAAGTGCAAAGTACTTCTACAAGACTGGCAGGATTCTAATCCTGTACTCACCCTGGACGGTGAGCAGATAGACGTAGTTGAGAAGTTCGTGTATCTGGGTAGCTGCATAAGTGCTGGTGGGGGTGTGAGCGATGAGATCAATGCACGAATAGTGAAAGCCAGAGCGGCTTATGCCAATCTGGGCCACCTTTGGCGCCTTCGTGATGTTAGTCTGGCTGTAAAAGGCCGGATCTACAACGCGTCGGTGAGAGCAGTTTTGCTCTATGCTTGTGAAACCTGGCCTCTCCGAGTTGAGGACGTTAGACGACTCTCTGTGTTCGATCATCGCTGTCTCCGAAGGATTGCTGACATTCAGTGGCAACACCAAGTCAGTAATGCAGAGGTTCGGCATCGTGTGTTCGGGCACAGAGATGATAACTCAATTGGTGTCACCATCTTGAAACACCGACTTCGGTGGCTTGGACATGTTCTCCGAATGTCGTCCCAGAGAATTCCACGTCGTGCATTATTTGCCGACTCTGGGACTGGTTGGAAGAAGCGGAGAGGTGGTCAGTGCATGACATGGTGTCGTGGCATGAAAGAAAGCTGCAAAGGGCTGGCTTGTGTTGGTCCTTCACGACTCCCTGGTTGGGGTCCGAGAGATGGTGCAACACAGTGGCTAGAGACGTTATCAGATATGGCTCAGAATAGAAGCCAGTGGCGATCCTGCTGTAACCTTCTTTTACTTTCTTCATAAAAAGTGGTTGTGTCTCATTTACCTGAAAGATTTCTTCTGATTGTACCTCTTCGTCATTACTCTCTTTTTCTTTTGCGTCCCTTAGTTTTTTTTTTCTTTCTACTTCTCTTCGAATTCCCATTGTTTTGTGTGGCGCATATATATTGGCGCTCTCTTGTACCAATATTTATGTGTTCAAATAATAAATGATGAACTGTTTATGTTCTAAACCCGAGAAAGATTGACTCGCGAGGAGCAGGTTGGTTTCCGTTCTGGTCGAGGATATATTGATCATATCTTCACCCTCCGACAGATGTTAGAACACCATCATACTTATCACAGGCCAACAATCGTAGTATTTCTTGACATCAGGGCTGCCTTCGATTCGTTGGATAGGACTGTTCTCTGGGATTGTCTATTGAAGAAGAGTGTGCCTGAGGTTTATTAGCATCCTAAAAGCCCTATAAACAAACACCTCAGGTAGAGTGAAGCCATACAACCACCTTTCTCCATTGTTCCATTCAGGCAGTGGGGTTAGACAGGGTTGCCCAATCTCACCATTCCTCTTCAACTTTGCCATCGACGACATTCTAGAAACAGCTCTGATAGATGTAACTAATGGCGGTGTGGATCTGTTGCCTGGAGAAAGACTTCTCGACCTTGAGTATGTGGATGATATTGTCTTACTGTGCGATGATGCCTAAGCCATGCAATCCGCACTTAATCAGTTGGCAATCAATGCCCGTAGGTACGCTATGTGCTTTGCACCTTCCAAGTGCAAATTCTACAAGACTAGCAGAACCCTGATTATGTACTCACCCTGAGTAGTGAGCAGATAGTAGTCGAGAAGTTAGTGTATCTAGGTAGCTGCATAAGGGCTGGTGGCGTGAGCGATGAGATCGATTCACGTATAGTGAAAGCCAGAGCGGCTTATGCTAATCTGAGCCATCTTTGCCACCTTCGTGAGGTCAGTCTGGCTGTAAAAGGTCGGATCTACAACGTGTCGGTTAGAGCATTCTTGCTCTATGCTTGTGAAACCTGGCCTCTCCGAGTTGAGGATGCTAGACGACTCTCTGTATTCGATCATCGTTGTCTCCGAAGGATTGCTGACACCCAGTGGCAACATCATGTTAGTAATGAAGAGGTTCAGCATCGTGTGTTCGGGCACAGAGACGATGATTCAATTGGTGTCAACATCTTGAAACACCGACTTCGGTGGCTTGGACATGTTCTTCAAATGTTGCCCCAGAGAATTTCTTGTTGTGCACGATTTGCCGACGCTGGGACTGGTCGGAAAAAGCGGAGAGGTGGTCAGTGTATGACCTGATGTCGTGGTATGAAAGAAAGCTGCACAGGACTGGCCTCTGTTGGTTCTTCATGACTCCCTGGTTGGGGTCCTAGAGATGGTGCAACACAGTGGCTAGAGACGTTATCAGATATGGTTCAGAATAGAAGCCAGTGGCGATCCTGATATAACCTTCTTTTGCTTTCTTCATAAAAAGGGGTTGGAACTTCCTTAACTGAAAGAATCCTTTCTGGTTGTAGCTTTCCGTTTCCCCCATTACTATTATTATTATTATACTACCATACACTAATCTGTGGTCGTTGTTGTTCTCTTTTTCTTTCTTATACGCACCTTACATTCTTTCTTTTGTTACCATTCTCATTGCTTTGTGTGGCGCATATATATCTGGTGTCCACTTGTACCAATAATTGTGTTCAAATAAATAAATAAATAAAATCAAACCAGATATATATGTTCAAAAACAAACCAGTAAATCTTACTTTGCCCTGGTAACATTACACCCTTTTTATTGCATTATTCATTATTTCAAATCTCTCAAGTTTTGATCACATCATTGTCAGTTCTCTTTAACTCATAATTGATTTCAATTCAAGTCATTATTACCACTAATCTGTTTTCAGTTGCTTCATTGCTTACTTACTTACTCCTGTTACTCCTAATGCAGCATAGGCCGCCGACCAGCATTCTCCAACCCACTCTGTCCTGGGCCTTCCTTTCTAATTCGATCCAATTCTTGTTCATTTTTCTCATGTCTATCTCCATTTCCCGGCGTAATGTGTTCTTTGGTCTTCCTCTTCTCCTCCATTGGCCTTGAGGACTCCATGTGAGGGCTTGTCTTGTGACGCAGTTGGGTGCTTTCCTCAATGTGTGTCCTATCCACTTCCAGCGCTTCTTCTTGATTTCTTCCTCCACTGGAATCTGGTTTGTTCTTTCACACAGTTGGTTGTTGCTAATAGTGTCCGGCCAACGGATCCGAAGTATTTTGCGTAGACAACTGTTAATAAACACCTGTATCTTCTGGATGATGGCTTTCGTAGTTCTCCAGGTTTTCGCCCCATACAGAACTGTCTTGACATTTGTATTAAAAATTCTGACCTCGGGGTTGGTTGACGGTTGTTTTGAGTTCCAGATGTTCTTCATTTGTGATTATGCTGCTCTTGCTTTGCCGGTCCGTGCCTTCACATCTGCATCAGATCCACCGTGTTCATCAATGATGCTGCCCAGATATGTAAAGGTTTTTACATCATCCAAATCTTCTTCGTCAAGAGTGATTCGATTGTTGCATGCTGTATTGTATCGGAGAATGTCGCTTTTCCCTTTGCGTATGTTGAGACCTACTGCTGCTGAGGCCGCTGTTACACTTGCTTCATCGCACAATCATCTAATGTTTTTAACTCTATGATTTCTAGTCACTAGTTCGATGTTCTGGAACTTTCCCTCTTCTTATTTGTCTGAGAAAAATTTTTATGACCTTATAAACTATATTATAATCTCCGCTACATCATGATACACATATTCATCTATAATCACCTTCGTATTTATAAGTATGTCAATATCCACAATTTTGATTTGTAAGCAGCTGATGATAGCCTAACGAAATCAAATGAATTTCTATTATTCTGCTCCATTCTTTGGTTTTGCTCTCTTTAAGATAATAAAGGGAATTGTGTAAGAACTTACCAGAATCCTCGAATTATTTAAAATAACTCTCAAGATAAAATATTACAAAAATTCATCAGCTCGGTGTTGGATAGTTTTACTCGTTTAACACAGAATACTAGAAAGGCAACTCACGTGTTGCTTCGGAGCGATCGGAGGACATGAACTTCGAATGATCGTCGGACCACATGGATTAACTGCACTGGAATGTTGTGCTACAGTTGCGATAGTTGCCGTCCGTCCTGTAACAGCACTGCCTGGCACAGGTGTGATCTTTAAACCTGTCGGTGTAACTACAGTAGGTCCTCTCTGTCCAGCCATAGTGACGCATGAGTTTGGTATTATTGAACCAACAGCGGCAGTAGTAGTAGGTAATCTGATAGGGGTTGGTATCGGAACAGAATTAGCAGGAGCTGGTGTGGTAATGAGGGCCTATGAAATGAACGAAATCGAAAAGCTAGTCAGTCAGTTAATCAAACAGCTAACAATTTTGCTTAAGTTGTTGCTAGCAGCAAGCGAATAAATTCAAAAGCCTTTCCAGAGGCACTAACCTGTGAAATAGCACCAGCTCTTGAAAAGTTCAGAGAACCCGCAGATGCAGTTAATGGAGCTTTAACAATTCCACTTGTATCTACTGGTGAAGATGTCAGGGAATGTGTGGAAGTTGTGGAAGGAGAAACATCATACTTTTGAATTTGTAAAATATAAGCATCTGCAGTAGGTACAGAACCCCATGTTACTTCGAGGCTTTGTGTGCCAGCACGAACTAACTGAACTCTTGTTGGAGCAGCAGGACGGTCAGTTTCCAAAAACCATAAATCTTTGAAGCAAACCTAGAATGATAAAAATTCAACCAGTTAGTATTATATTTTAGAGTACATATTATCACACGGTTGTACAATATTCAGGAACTCACCTGATTATTCCATGCTTTTCTATATCCATCACGACCAGACCAAATGTACAAACGACTGTGAACAGCTACAGCACAATGTCCAGCACGGGCTCGAGGTAGAAGACATTCGTCAGCAACTTCCATTGTCAATGGTTCCCAAACCATTGTGTCAAGATTGAGACTAGCCAAAGTATTCGTACACTTCCATTCTTTTTCTTGAGCTGTCATTTTAATTTCTTCCATGACCAAAGGAACCCATCCACCGAAGACAAACATGCTAGTAATGGTTAAATGTCAAGTATCAAAGCAAATTAAAATGAGAACACGGAAGAAAATAAAAGGCTATCTATCAACATTGATATTTAAAAATCTGGTCAGGTTCTAAAGAAATTATATGCGAAACACTACAACGAAAATTTTGTTAAGGAACAGTAAGTAGATGTAGAAAATGAGTAACGTCGCTCTCTAGGTTACTGCTGAGAAACGCCGAACATAAAACACTTCACATTTAAAACATAAAATGTAAATAACTGATGTCGTGGGTGCTTAAACAGATCCAATAGTTTTGGTCAGTAAGGGCAAGTGATTTAGAACTATGAAATGAAATTAAGTACGTTCAAAATAATAACCAAGAATTTTCCCTTCGGGTTGCGAATATATTTGATTCACACGAACTAAAAAGCCTAATACCAAATGGACCCAACCGTAGCTGCTACCTTGACGCGGTGTTCGGGCTTGCCTATCGTGATGACCCAACCGAGATATATTGGCTGGAACATATGTTCCTGTAGGTTCTACCATGACAGGCAGGTCGAGTGGAGAACGGTAAGACTAAAAGCAGCAACTCAAGGTCTGAGGGCGAAGTCGTACTGCTGACTGTAGAGGGGTGTGACAGCAGTAAGGTGTTTCTCTTGGACAACCAGCATCTACAGCGATGCTGCCTTCTTACAAGGAGGGAAGGGGTTAGAAAAGGTCGACCCTAAAAATGTCACACCTCACCTTACCTCACGGATTTCTGTCTCCGGCGGTAAGGCCCTTTGAAGAACGGAGCTAACACGTCAAAAACCTCCCACAAAAAAGCCGTGCGCGACCGGCCTCAAGCAGTTGTCCCTTGGGCTTTGCGGTCACGCTCCCAAGTCTTTAAGAACAACACTAATCCAATTTCATTTTCAGGTTCCTCAAGAAATACCCTTCCACGGTCTGGGCAGCCAGGAAGTGACACCAGCCCTTATGCCCGTAACAGCACACGATGCCAAGTTGGTCACATTCAAATCCTTCCTACACCTCTAAATATCACTCTTATCTCCCCGAATAACCCTTCTCACGTCCTTTTTCCACCTCGCACCGCCAGGGTAAACGATTCGAGTACGCGGAACGTTATTCCTCGTTTCCTGAAACCACGCTCTAAACTACACGTAGGAGCTTTTAACGTCCGAACATTATGCCAAACAGGACAACAGGCTTCCTTAGCTAAGACTTTAAAATCTCGAGCCATCGATGTGTGCTGCGTCTCCGAAACGCGCATACAGGACCCGAGTAGCGTCATTCATTTGACACCACCATGTCAAAACAAAGAACCAACTCGATTCACACTGTGTATCTGGAAGCCCAGATGCTGCTTCACGTGGACTGGCCGGCGTAGGTATAGCATTGAGTCCTGGGGCAGAACAGTCGTTTGTGCGCTGTCCGACTAAACGGAACAATAAGGACTCTGAAAGATAGGGACACTCGTCGTTGCCCCTTCGTCGTCTTTGCCTATTCTCCCACTGACTGCAACTCAGATGTAAGAGATGAGTTTTACAGAAAGCTTTCCGACGTTCTCCTAAAAGTTAGGCGCTCGGATGTAGTAATAGTGGCTGGTGACTTTAATGCTCAAGTAGGTAAACTAAGAGATAAGGAAAGACACCTAGGTGGATCTTATGGTGTCGCGGCTCAAAGAACAGATAATGGCGACCGTCTGTTGCAGCTATGCTCAGATAACAGCCTGTTCCTTGCAAATACTAACTTTAAGCATAAGGAAAAACATCTTTTAACATGGCGACCCCCTAATTCGTCCCAACGTTGGACCCAAATAGATCACATCGCTATCAGCCACCGATGGAGGGGCTCGATAGAAGACTGTCGCTCATTCTGGAGCACATGCTTAGATTCAGATCATGCTCTAGTACGATCGCGTATTTGCCTGCGTCTTACTGGACGTAAGAAAGACGCTGCAAGGAAACCTCTTAGGGTCCTGTTTAATAATATTCAGTGATTGAAAATTTCAGAATTTCACCAAACTAAGCAGTTGTCACTGAAGGAAGACACTTACTGAATTAATCAATCAATAGGGCCCTACTTAATGATTGTCAAGCTAAGAGTATATTTCAGGAACAACTTGGAAAACAGTTAGACAGCCATGTAGGTGATGCCCACCCCGATGCAGCATGGAATGATATCCGAAAAGCTGTGGAAACAGCAGTGATATCTGCTAGTACGGTAAACCGTAAGGTTAGGGAGCAACACTGGATCTCAGCAGCACCTACCGCACTGATAGATGCTCGAAAACTCATTCCATCTGGCTCTGAACATAACGAAGAGCGGAGTCAGCTTAAGCGCAAGCTGACAAGAAGCCTACGCAATGATTGTGAACAGTAATGGGTAGCGAAAGCAAGAGAGATGGAATAGGCAGCGGCAATAGGTAATAGCAGACAATTGTTCAGACTTGTTAAGGAAACCGGTATTAGGTATCCGACTGTTAGCGAAACAATCTCAGAGAAAGATGGACATATTATACATTCTCAATCCGTGCCCCCTGAATGCCCTGGTACGGCCGAGAGTGGGGAGAGTCCGCTCTCCCTCTCGAAATACTCTCACACGGCCACGCGTATATAGCCTCTGCCAGGGAAGTCCTACTCATTGCCTTCTCGTGGCGGGGGTGTTGTTTACGAAAATGAGAGGACGAGAAGCGAATGTCCGGCGCTTTAACCGGATTCCAAACCAATGGTGCACATGGGCTCCAGTATCCTGCGGGAACGAATGGCGTATGAACCAATCTTTGGTCACCGGCTACCATGGGACTGCATCTCCTTACGATGCTCCACTGCCTTGTGGGTTAGACCTTTAGGTCAAAGGCTCGGGGAGTGGCCCCCTAAGATAACCACCTGCTTCGGTTTGGGCACCCGGGCAGTATCACAGCCCACACACAAATGATGAACTGTTTATGTCTATGGAAACTACTTTTGTCGCTTTGAAAAACAATCAATTGATTCAAATTATGATCACTTCAATTATTGTCATTATTAATAATAATATTATTATCACTACTGTTATTGTCATTATTGTTATTTTTATCATTATTATTATTATTTTCCACATTATTCACCTTCTTTTATACTTATACAGCGGCTCGTCTTTGGTGGAATTCCGACTGTATCTAAACGTTCTCGAGTCACTGTCCGGTTGAAAATTGTATGTTACCACCGAATACGAGGACTGAAGCAGATTTTCTGAAACCACGTGCATCATTCAAACTGGCTGCCTTCAACGTTCGCACATTTATGCAGGTCGGACAACAGATAGGGCTGGCTATGTCTTTAGAAAGTCTTAATATCGATGTTTGTTGTCTATCCGAGACCCGTATTCAAGACTCTGGCGAAGTACTACAAATTCGATCTCCATCTGTCGCTTCGAAAAGCTTGTTTTACGTGCGCTTATCCGGGGACCCTGTGGCATCTTCGTCTGGTTTTGCTGGCGTTGGTGTCGCACTAAGCGCTAGAGCTGAGGCAGCACTAGTCGATTGGATCCCCATTAACAGTCGGTTATGTGCTGTTAGATTAGAAAGTTCCATCAAAGCGAGAAGAAATCGGCGTGAGAAACGATGTCTTTTCGTCATCTCCGCCTATGCCCCGACAGATTGCAGCCCGGATGCAATCAAGGATGAGTTTTACCACCAGTTATCAGTTCTTCTCCAGAAAGTGCGTTCGACAGATATTGTAGTACTAGCCGGAGACTTGAATGCTCAGGTCGGGCGTCTAGGCACAGAAGAGAGTCGTTTAGGTGGCCGATGGGGACTCGTTGGTCGCAGGTCAGATAACGGGGACCGTCTACTGCAACTTTGCGCAGACCACAACCTGTTTCTGGCTAGCACTAACTTTCGGCACAGTCATCGCCGATGTGCCACCTGGCGTCCTCCCTCTGCATCTCAAGCCTGGACTCAGATTGATCACATCGCGATCAGCTACCGCTGGCGTGGTTGTGTACAAGACTGCCGCTCCTTTTGGAGTACCTATCTGGACTCTGACCATGCCTTGGTCTGCGCCAATCTTGCCTTACTTTTCAGTGGACAACGAAGTGAACGCCATCAACGGATTGATGTTAGCAAGCTGGTTGCAACTTCTGTTGCAAGTAAGTATCGAACCGAGCTAGCCTCTATGCTAGCTACCACTCCACTGGAAAGTATAGATGAGCATTGGTTGCAATTGCATGACGCCATGAAAATGGCGGGAACAGTCAGTTGTGGGTTTGCGAAACGTCCCGCTTTTAAGCACTGGGTTTCTGCAGGTTCCTTACAACTCATTGAAGCCCGTCGGTCTACTCCGGGTAACCGTGAGTTTGACCATAAACGAAGGTTTTTACGTAATGAAATCGGGCAAAGCTTGCGTAAGGACCGAGAAGCCTGGTGGTCGATGCGTGCTAATGAGCTGGAAGCAGCAGCTGCATCTGGTAACTACCGGAAGCTCTTCCAACTCATCCGAGCCACTGGCAGCAAGAAGTCTGGTGTGAGTGAAACAATCTGCGAGGATGATGGGATGCCAATCACTAACATCCATCGACGTCTTGGACGATGGGCAGAATTTTTCGAAGGGCAGTTCAACTGGCCTGCTGCTCCGGCAACATCGGTCAGACTGTCCTGCCCTCCATGGCCGGTGACGACTGATCCACCAAATGAGGAGGAAGTCCGCAAGGAACTCCAACTCTTGAAGCGTTACAAATCACCTGGCCCAGATGACTTACCTCCGGCTCTTTTTAAAGATGGTGGTGACTTTTTGACTAAGGAATTGACGACGTTGTTTACAAAGGTTTGGGATCTAGAGAGTGTACCAACGTCATGGAATGAGTCGATAGTTGTCCCTATCTTTAAAAAGGGTTCACGTCGTTCTTGTAACAACTATCGGGGGATAAGTTTACTTCCGATTGCGTCCAAGCTATTGGCTTCCGTCATTCTTCGTAGGTTGTTCAAAACCCGAGAAAGATTGACTCGCGAGGAGCAGGCTGGGTTTCGTTCTGGTCGAGGATGTATTGATCATATCTTCACCCTCCGCCAAATGTTAGAACACCGCCATACTTTTCAAAGGCCAACAATCGTAGTGTTTCTTGACATCAGGGCTGCCTTCGATTCGTTGGATAGGACTGTTCTCTGGGATTGTCTATTGAAGAAGGGTGTGCCTGAGAAGTTTATTAACATCCTAAAAGCCCTGTATAAAAACACCTCAGGCAGAGTGAGGGCATACAACCACCTCTCTCCATTGTTCCATTCGAGCAGTGGGGTTAGGCAGGGTTGCCCAATCTCACCATTCCTCTTCAACTTTGCCATCGATGACATTCTGGAAACAGCTCTGATGAATGTAAGTAATGGTGGTGTGGATCTGTTGCCTGGAGAAAGACTTCTCGACCTTGAGTATGCGGACGATATTGTCTTACTGTGCGATAATGCCCAAGGCATGCAATCCGCACTTAATCAGTTGGCAATCAATGTCCGTAGGTATGGTATGTGCTTTGCACCTTCGAAGTGCAAAGTACTTCTACAAGACTGGCAGGATTCTAATCCTGTACTCACCCTGGACGGTGAGCAGATAGACGTAGTTGAGAAGTTCGTGTATCTGGGTAGCTGCATAAGTGCTGGTGGGGGTGTGAGTGATGAGATCAATGCACGAATAGTGAAAGCCAGAGCGGCTTATGCCAATCTGGGCCATCTATGGCGCCTTCGTGATGTTAGTCTGGCTGTAAAAGGCCGGATCTACAACGCGTCGGTGAGAGCAGTTTTGCTCTATGCTTGTGAAACCTGGCCTCTCCGAGTTGAGGACGTTAGACGACTCTCTGTGTTCGATCATCGCTGTCTCCGAAGGATTGCTGACATTCAGTGGCAACACCAAGTCAGTAATGCAGAGGTTCGGCATCGTGTGTTCGGGCACAGAGATGATAACTCAATTGGTGTCACCATCTTGAAACACCGACTTCGGTGGCTTGGACATGTTCTCCGAATGTCGTCCCAGAGAATTCCACGTCGTGCATTATTTGCCGACTCTGGGACTGGTTGGAAGAAGCGGAGAGGTGGTCAGTGCATGACATGGTGTCGTGGCATGAAAGAAAGCTGCAAAGGGCTGGCTTGTGTTGGTCCTTCACGACTCCCTGGTTGGGGTCCGAGAGATGGTGCAACACAGTGGCTAGAGACGTTATCAGATATGGCTCAGAATAGAAGCCAGTGGCGATCCTGCTGTAACCTTCTTTTACTTTCTTCATAAAAAGTGGTTGTGTCTCATTTACGTGAAAGATTTCTTCTGATTGTACCTCTTCGTCATTACTCTCTTTTTCTTTTGCGTTCCTTAGTTTTTTTTTTTTTCTTTCTACTTCTCTTCGAATTCCCATTGTTTTGTGTGGCGCATATATATTGGCGCTCTCTTGTACCAATATTTATGTGTTCAAATAAATAATAAATAAATAAATAAATTCTCAATCCAGGAAATTGGATCGATGGGCAGAACACTTTAGGGATCAGTTCAACTGGCCTTCAGCCACACTTCGGTTTCCCACGATCTCCAGTCAACCTGAATGGCAAGTTAATTTAGGTCCTCCGACTCTTTACAAAGTTGAAAAAGCTATAGGAAATCTGAAGCGAGGGAGAGCAGCAGGCCCTGACAGGTTTACTCCTGAGATTTTTAAGGATGGTGGTCCAGTATTAGCAGTGAGATTAACCGAGGTCTTAGGTAGGATTTGGGAATTGGACGTAATCCCATCTGACTGGTCTCAATCACTGATTGTGCCAGTCTATAAGAAAGGACAAAAGTCCTCTTGTGACAATCATAGAGGAATCAGTTTGACTAATATAGTGTCTAAAATATTAGCTTCAATAATACTTCGACGCCTAACTAAAGCTCGTGAAGAGCAGACTAGAGAAAACCAGGCTGGTTTTCAACCTAGACGTGGTTGTATAGACCAGATATTCACACTACATCAGGTCCTAGAACATAGACACACATTCAGACGCCCCAAAATAGTAGTATTTCTTGACCTTAAAGCAGCATTCGACTCTGTTGATCGTGAGGTTCTGTGGCAGTGTTTGTCATTGAAAGGAGTACCAAAGAAGGACATTAACTTTGTAAAGGCTTTCTACTCGGACACAACTAGTCGAGTGAGAGCTTATGGCGAACTGTCATCAGAATTGATTATCTCAAGTGGTGTTCGTCAGGGCTACTCACTCTCTCCATTCTTGTTTAACTTTGTCATTGACGTACTTTTAGAGATGACACTTTCCTCATCTAAATTTCCGTGGGTTGAACATCTACCGAGAAATTCACTTTTTGACTTAGAATATGCCGATGATATAGTTCTGTTTGGTGAAAGCGCTGACAAAATGCAGTTTTTTGACCACACTAAGCAACAATGCAAGCATGTTCAAGATGCGATACTCTCCCTCGAAAAGTAAAATGTTGCTTCATGTTTGGGTTGTATCGACACCCGAAATAATTATAGGGAGTGAAGTAGTTGAGCGTGTCGATCGCTTTACTGATCTTGGAAGTCTCATCAGCCCTTGTGGTCTGGTGTGTGACGAAATCTCAGCAAAGATACAGAAGGCTCGACTAGCTTTTGCCAACTTTCGTCATTTATGGCGTAGGCGAGATATCCGTCTATCAACCAAAGGACGGGTTTACTGCGCAGCAGTTCGTTCTGTCCTACTTTATTGTAGTGAAACGTGGCCGGTAACAGTAGAGGATATTCGTAGGTTTCTAGTATTCGATCAGGTGTCTTCGAAGCATTGCTCGTATATCCTGGGACCATCGAGTAATTAATGCAGTTGTTAGGAAACGGATACTAGGCAAGGATGACAAATCAATTGATGAAGTAGTGAAACTTCAACAGTTGAGATGACTGGGACACGTGTTACGTATGCCCAACCACCGACTGCCCCGACGAGCGATGTTTTGTGGTGTAGGAGTAGGTTGGAAGAAGGCTAGGGGCAGTCAGACCAAAACATGGCACAAATCCATGAAGTCACTGACAAGTGAACTGAGCCATGTTGGTAGGTGTAGACTACCTGATTGGGATCCGCGAGATGATAGCAACCGATGGATAGAGACCTTGAATGACGTGGCCCCAAATCGATTGCGATCGGGCAGGTGCATCCACTCTTTGTGTTCTCCCAAATTCTAATCTGAATTCATGTTCCTTTTTTCGTCTTTCCAAATTTATTTCGCTGGATTATACTCCTTGGAAAGCATCTTCAAACCCTAATCTTTCCGATTACTGTTTATACTCTTACTACCTCTAACACTACGGGATTTAAATCGACAACTGTATCTCTGTGTTAATGTAGTGTGGCACCTCGGACTGATGTACGTACGTACGAAGTTCTACGTTGTTACTGACTGACTGACTGAATACCAAATGGATCACTGTCATAGCCTATCTGTCAAAAGACGATAAAGACACAAATTAATTTTTCAAACCTCATGTGACAAACTCATTTTGGAGACCGGACACTGGATTAGTTTTCCTACGAAGCTGTCAAAATCATTTAATTTTACCTGTATTTATCACGTTGAAAGTATAGTCCTTTAACCACTAGACCTGAAAAAATGAGTCAATCAGAAATAGCCAGATGATAAGGCTACTACGTGTCAATCAGCAACCACCTAAAGCAAAAGTACATGTCACTGATCAGAAAATGGATTCATCTTTTGAGGTATATATATAATTTTACAAATAACGTCTCTATACTCCCCGCCCTATTCCTGCCGAACTATCCGTCCAAATATTGACCAATACTCGCATATATTTTGTTTGTTAATTAGATAACTCTCAATTTATGGGAAAATCGTGAGTCTTAAAGCAAGGCTAATGACCACCCTAAAATAAGTGCTGATTACCTTTCCTAACCTGAATACACAATAAACAAATGATAACATAAGCTAAAAAGTGCCTTAAGGCACATTAAATCGTTTACGATAGATAACAGGACGTAGGATAAAACCTACCGCAACAATAAAAGGATTTTTCGTAACACTTACCGGTTTCCGATTACAGTTGCACTGTGAAGACTGCGTGGGGCCGGTAGATCTCCACTAACGATAGGTTTGATCCATGTCATGGTATCAATTTCTAATTGCCAAAGATCCCCAAGTCGGTTACCGGACATGCCACCATATACCAAAAGACGCCATTTCTTTATCATTCCATCAAGGACCTGATAAGCTACTGCACTGTGAGATTCTCTAGGTGTAGGTGGCTGACCATATGTGTTTGGAATATCCCAACACATAGTACTTGAATTGGGTTTTAATTCCAGAGTGTACAGATCGTTTAAGTATCTAATTATAAAAATATTTTACAAAGTAAAGAGTACAGACAACTTGAGATAAAACAAGAACATACTTTAATAGCTAGAATGAATATAAAGCCGACTAATAGATGCATGGTGATTCAACGCGATCGGAAGATAAATCCCCATGAGAGAGAATTACTGACGGAATCCGACATGACAGTTGCCTATAAATTATAGTTTCGCCGGAAAATGTTTTATGGACCAATAACTATTATTTTAGGAAACTACTGTAGACTGAATAACGAACCTTATTAGCAAGATTTACCATGAAATTTGATAAAAGGAAACGAATTTTTCCGCGTGTTAAGACATTAGATTTCTGTTGAATTCATCATACCAGAAGTTTAAGATCATATATATCGCTTTTAATGCTACTAAGGTTTGTGAAATAATTTTCATGCGTATTTTTTGTTGGTGTGTACCTGTGATTGACATACACCGTGTTTCTTTTTTCCTGAGTTGGATTTTCTAGCTGTCTGAACTTTTCTTGTTTTATCCGCATCGTGCCGATCATAATGGCCATTCAAAGTTATCGATGCGGTTGACCATTATGCATATTTCTTGTTGAAAATGGTATGCAATATGACGGATGCAAGAGACGATTTCACAAATTATTACCCGCCGTGCATGAAAATTGCTGTAGACCGACCTCACCGTGATTATTTAAGGAATGTTCCGTTACTAAGACAATTGTTAGATGAAGCCTACACAGTGCTTATTCGCGGCGGATGTTGTTGACGAAATTTGGAGGGGGCTTGTAAAACGACCCTGCTAAAAGGCATACACACATTCTGGAGTTAGTTGGACCTGCCATCAGAAATGTACTGTTGGAAGGTAGTACATATTAATAAAGTAATGAGGCTCGATAAATGGATTGGAGGCGGACATAACCAAGAGGAAACTAAAAATTAGAACTCGAAAGTTACGAGAAAAATATGTTCCTTCCTCGCACTCAACCACCTAGGAACTGGAAGGATGATTTGGTTAGCCCAATATTAAAGTATGGAGAGATCATGTTTAACCGCTGACCTATCAGTCTAACCAGCATAGTAGTTGGGTTACATGAGAAAAACAATGAGGGTCAAGTTACGAAGTCACAGAGAATCATATAATTCGATGACTCTTGAGCAACACAGATCTTTTAAGCATTCGTGCATAACTGTTTGCTAGAGAGAATCAGACAGCAACCTAAGATAACGATTTTTCCATTGATGTGGTGTTCATAGATCTTAAAAAAGCTTTGGAATAACAGGTAGTGTGCAAGAGTAGATAAGAAAATATCTCTGTGGTTGAATACATGTGAGAGTAGATGAAAAACGATCTGAACGGAAGCTGATCAAAAGACATGTACTCCAAAGCGCCACCTTGTGTCGATTTTTTTCTACAAGTCAATGAATTATCGGAACTCCTTATGTCAGACAGTTGTTTACAGGTGCTGATAACTAGAAAGAAGTAGCGAAGCTGAGCACCTTGATCTTGATCAGTTACAAGATACAAGGGATATCCCCTAAACTTGAGTTTAATTTAGAAATATGCCGGTGACCTAGTACATAATGTAACAGTAGTTTTCCTTTAAGATTAGATGACCAGTCTAAACATGTTACTGGACACTAATTTACACAAACACAACCACTAAACAACGCATGACCAATTCAGCAGAAAAACAGGAGTGATTACCTTGGTATATTGTTTTTAGGGTCATCGCTGTCATTTGTTATCCCACCAAATAAAAATGCTCGCTGACCAACAAGAGTAAAACTATGACCTACCAAAAACAATCAGAATAAAAGAGGTCATACCGATCCTTGGACATGGACAGGGGCCATTTCTAGCAGGCTTAGGCTTTAGACGTTTCCATTCCCAACGAGAGGCTTGTAGTTCGTATAAGTCGCCTGAATATTTGCCATACTCAAGCATGCCACCAAACATGAGCACACGAGTGTTTTCTGCCAGCATTCCGAAAGCTGCACATCCTGGAGGAATATCTCCATGTACAGCGGGAAGAAACCATTGGCAGGTTGCTAAAGCAAATGGGCGAAAATAACACTTACTCGTATTGAAAACGTGAAGTTCGTCCACTATTCCCTCATTCCCACCACCGAAAACAACGATCAAGTCCTTGATAGCCACAGCTTTGTGTCCGTGTCTTGATCTGGGGACATTCCCAGTGGCCGCCGAAACTTTCCTCCACCTAACAATAGGACCTACACCAGCCATCTTGGAAAGCGTACCACCCGCGGGATCATGAAAAGACGTTTCAATAATCATTTGTTGGGAAAATTTAGCAGTCGAACTCAAGGAATTATAATTAAAATCTCTCTGTTATTCTTTCTTGGACTCATAAAATAAGAAAATAGTGCAAATCAGAAAAACAGTAGGAAACTGATAAACACCACAGACATTTTCATTGGAGGACGTCGCACTGACACTTCAAAACAATTTTGTCACAGAAGATCACATATTTTTGGTCAAAAAGTCCAAGCTTATGGGAATCAAGTTACCTTAGACCGACTGGCTTATATCATATCGGAATAAACCGACCAGTTGTATTCGCGCGCTATTCAAAAAAGGTAGTGGTATTTTTCCTCTAAGTATATTTTATAGTGTTGATTGTTAAATAACACATCAAGACTGCTGTTTTGCTATAATTGGATTCATTTCAGTTAAAGCATTCCACAAATGTACCTCTTTTTTCCAGATAAGTTTACCATCTGTGCTTCACGAGTACACATGCGAAAAACTTAGGGCACTGGTATATGTTCTTTGTTGTTGCATATGTTTCTATGCCAATGATTGGCATAGACCTCCAACTACACCACAATCTACTCATCGATACTCGCAAACGAAGGCTAGTAGATGGAAACACTAAACTATCTGTTTGCGTGACTACTTTTTCTGGTTGCAGATTGTCTCCTGTCACAGTCAGGCACACGATAGACCCATTCTATCAACCTCTACTAGATGAGTATTCTCGGATATACCAACCGCAACCGAAACTACGATGCGTGACCAGCACCGTTACACGTCACATCACGACTACAGGACCACCTGTATTCTCGAAAGCACGCCAACTGGCCCCCGTAAAGCTAAGGTTGGCCAGAAACGAATTCGACCACATGATAGACTTAGGAATCAAATAGTCCATGGCCATCTTCATTGCTCATGGTTCTTAAAAAAGATAACAACGATTGGCGTCCAACTGGTGACTATCGGCGACTAAATGCAAAAACCATTCCCGATCGTTACCCGTTGCCTCACATTCACGATTTGACAGCTACCTTGAAAGGTACAACTATCTTTTCGAAAATCGACTTGGTTAAAGCGTATAACCAAATCTCTATGGCTACTGACGGTATGCCGAAAACCGCTATCATAACTCCGTTTGGGAATTTTTGCGAATGCATCCAGCATCTGGATCATGTTTTTGAGCAACTACAAAAACGTGGCATTACTGTAAACATTCAGAAATGGCGAATTGGAACTGACTCCTGGTAGACCAACACTCGTCCTGCTAGGTATTCACAATGCAGTGAAAGCTGAAATTGGATAAACTGCAGCTCAACTCGTTCATGGAACAACACTTCGACTTCCAGAATTCGTGGATCTCTCATCTTCTTCAATGAACATGGATCCTACCCCCTTCACGATAGGCTTACAAACGCAATGCGTCCAATTAAACCTATTTTCTTTCGACCGCAATCGACTGATGTTTTCGTTCAACTTGACTTACTATATAGTACACACGTTTTCGTCCGTCGAGACTCACATCGACGACCTTTCAAATCAGCATATGAAGGATCTTTCAAAGTTCTTCAACACGAATCCATGTACCATATAGTCGATAAGAATGGAACCAACGATAGCATCAGCATCGATCGCCTCAAAGCAGCTTATTTAGAAGGAAATCCTATTCACGTCGATTTTCCTTCCGTACAATCGAACGACATGGCTCCTACATTTATAATACCTCGTTCGACAGCCAACGCGCACGATGATAGTTCGGCAGTATCAGAAAATAAACTTAAAACAACGCGTTCTGAAAGAAGAGCAAGATTTCCAGAGCATTTGAACGACTATTGCACGTAAGATACTTGTTGACATTTTATATCATCTCGATTTTTCTTTGTACTGCGTGTAATATAAAGAAAAAATTTTAATATGCCTATATATTTATATTTTCATTCCCAAAAAAAACAAAAACCCATATTATAAAAATCCTTTTCTACGCTATTACGTGTGTTTGAGTTTATTTTTCTTTTTTCGCCCGCTTTGTGTTTTTACGCGCGTACGAGTGTATTACGACATGCACGTACATGTTTTTATTCTTCCAGAACGGCTGAAGAAGACAGCTAAAAAGACGATGAAATTTACAAGGAACCGAGAATTTCATTGTACTTTTTTGCTATATTGTACTTCATCGTCCTTTATAGTAGAGAAAGACGACCAGACGCTGCTAAGCATAGCAAGCTATCAGAAGGGCGTTTACCAACGACAAACTCATTGGGTTTAAACTTCTGGCTGACCACGTCTTAGGGTCATCACTACCCACTAGGGGGAGTGATATGTATTGGTAAATAAATCCCCAAAATAAATAGCTCTGCAAGATTTCGACATTGGATGCTGAACACATTAGTTTCGATGCACTCACTTAGCCGAAGGCACTCGGTCATGCATCCGTATCAGACCACGAGTGGGAACGCCGTGCTCAGCATCCTCGCAATCGCTACCCAGATTAGATCAGTCGACCCACGATATATTGATAGACTATCGAATATATCTTCGAACCTCCTCGTTGCTGTATTTTGATTTCACTTGGAGGGTACGATTCATATTAGGTGTTACTGTTTAAAGTGTTGCCAAACTACAAATACCCGTGGCATCTTCAATGTGCACCGAACTCACACCGACTACATATAAAAGTGCTACGAGTCCTCATTACGTTGGTTGTGCGAAGCAGTTTACTCTACAAAGTCTCTGCTGATTCGTGAAGCTATTGAAGCAGAGTCATCTATAACGTCATTCGATTGCAAACTGTTAAAAACCTGAATTCACTAGCTTTATTCCAACACATTGGATATTAAACCACATATGACTTCAGAAGCTCCTCGTCTCTCTTAAACCTACTTTTCACAGATGGTGATGACGTCGGTCAAATTACTTTCATACCACCTCTAGATAGAAGCGACCATGTAGTCATCTTATTCAAATTCAGAGCCGAGCTGGACTGTCAAATATGCTAACTTACAAATACTTCACTTCTCCGTTTTTCATATACCTAGGTACACATGCTGAAGCATCGTTGATCTACCGTTTCTAGGAACAGAAGCTCCTTAAGCGAGGCTTACAGATCATTCATACGATAAATGCATATATTTTTGGAGCAAATATTTTGATGTATTTGTTGATGGAATATGAGACTTCATTTAGTTGTTATGGATCGCCCATTTCATGAGTTGAAAGCCTAACTCTTTGACGAATTACGGAACAAGTTTTTTGGTCAGTTCTTGTTACAGTACCATGTTTTGTAGAGAGAACTTCAGTTCCTAATGAAAAGTTCGGATAAACATAATTTGAACCATCAATGATTTCCGTAATTTCGTAGGTTCACTTTTTTTGGAGGACAAAAAAGTAGTATCCTTTTCGCTTCAGGTAGCTTTTCTCAATGTTTGTCCAATATTGATTCTATAGGCAACCCTGGGAGTTTGGATATATTTTGTTCCGTTTGCTAGGTAGCTGTAATTTATTTGTGAGTGATCATGATTTGGCTACAATTAATTATCAGTCATCTAACATGAAAAATCACTTGTATGTCTCAATCATTAAGCTATATAAATTCGTACTAGTCACTGGAAACCATGGGGCAGTAGAGCCAGCGAAATGTGACTGGGCCCTAGCCAAATCATTTGACAGATGGGTCACAAAATTTCGAACAGCTTATTGATCTTTGTCAAGCTGAATGACGATCAATCAGTCGCACTCCGTGAACGGGCCCATGCGGTCTTGATTGTGTGGATGTTCATTCCTCTATATATGACCCCAATAAATAGTATCCCACTAGCTGAGTATTTAAGCAGGCTAAATCTCCTAGTAGTATCATTAAGTTGCTCGAGATTATTCAAAAGCCCGAACATCAGTTGTAGATATAGTCTATTGGTAATGACTGGTAAAAATCCGCAAGCGGGTAGATGGCAAGTACATAAGGAGTCTATTGAGAGTATGTGTTAAAAATTAATATATTTTTATGTGCTAATCGACTGTGGACAAATCACTGATTTTCTATGCCTCACAACCAATGAGAGAATAGATAATGGTTGATGTTCACGCGCTCAGTCAGACTCACACATAATTTTACATAATGGATAAATGTCTAAGTTACAGTGAGCGGACAAATAATACGAGAGTTGAATGAGCTTGTAGAATTATGGTCTACTATGATATTAGTACTGCTCTAATAATAGACCTAATCCTAAATTTGTAGATTTGTCATGATATAACTGCCTAATCTATAAGATCTTACGTGGAAGTCACACCATCGACTACACCAACTCACTGTATCGTATCAATTACCAATACATGATGTAGAACAAGGTTAGGCTAGAGAAAGAACAATATATTTAATATGAATAGAAGATATAAAGTAACATTGAGATGGACCACGCCTGCATGGACGAGCCATGCCATCCGATCAAACCCAGTCCATTCAATTCCTTCTCCGCGCCTTCTCCACGGTTAGGTATTTCCCCGAGTTAAATATTGAATATCTATTTTCTGAGTAGTCTCGTGTTCAGCTTTGTGGATTGTGTGGCTATTGTCCAATGCCACTACACTACTCTCCCATCAGAATCAACGTGATGTTGGTTCGATACCAAATTGGATGGGATCGTCGGGCGCCGGAGGTTACCAAGGATAATAAGGATCCTCCGGGTATTGATAAGCTGAAAGATAAATCAAAAAGGCGGTAGCATCTGGTCGGGAAATACATGTAATAATTTTAAAATATCTGCCTTCATGCTTAACATGCTTGAAATGAAAATTTCGGCGAAGATTATTTGGCCTAGAAAAAACGGGATTACAATAATAATAATAATAAAACGATGAGTGTTAATAGCCGTTGGGTAATAATTTAACGTATAGGTAGTAAGTATGTTGTGTTTAGAAATATTAAAGTAATCAATATTGTAGAAATGTTAATATTGGTTTTAGTTTTGGTTTAGATTATGAAATCAATTTACAATTATGCCGGTAACCTGTCCATATGTGATTTCCAATTGCATCTGTATTAGTAGGCTAACTGAAAGAACAAAAGTATTAACGTGGAGAAGAATTCCAACTAGTATTCCTGTTAGTTTGATACGGTTTATTTAGTTACGGGGAGATTTTCTC